ATTTAGGCTTTTTGTAAATTATAAAAATACTGATAACTGACTTTATAGTATTACAAGGTTCTGAAGGGTTTCTGAATATCAAAGCAAGCCTGAATTGTGTTTATTATAGTTTGGGTGATAAATATCATGATTTAAAAAAATTAATTGGAAATTGGCCATCTGCTCATGTTATTAAAGACAACATTACTAGACTTCATATTTGATTAACCTGAGTGTTACATTTCATAACCATGTTAGAAAGCAGGATTTTTCTGCAATCTTAAAAATAGGTTTTATTTTTCTTTTCACTTTAAGATTGTAATTAAGTTGTGCTAATTTAAGTTGTGTAATTGAAGTTGAATTTTTATGTGACCCTTCATGTAATGTCTCCATTATATATTTAAATTCTTGAAATCCTAAAGCAGCTCTATCAAAAGTAAATTCTGTTAGAGTACTGCATCAATGGTCTGTAAGTTTTGTCTTACACATATTTATAACAATGTTAGACTATAATAAATATATAAGTGCCTACTCTTTGTTCTGTTATTAATATATCCATTCCTTTATATTTGGGGAATGCTAGTAAATATAAGGTCATGGCCTGTATAAGGTAATGGTATAAATATGAAGCAGTGTGTTCAGTGGGAAAAAAGGAAAAAAAAAACAAAACGAAAAACAAACGTTCAGGATCCAGAGTAAAAAAAAATACCTGTATAGAGACTTGCTAGGTTTATGGCTTGAGCAAGTCACTTTAGCCTCTTGGATCCTATATAGGTGGGACATCAGCCCTACTTTTTAAGTCTTTTATCAGGATTATATGAAATTACATGAATTATATGGAATTTATGAAATGTAGATTACATATATGGAATTTAAGAGAATCCCTATGTATCAATATTGGTGATTATTATTTTTTTCAAGGTAATGTGTCAGACATGTTAAAATATGATGGATTTCAGTTCTTACTCTTCTCACAAGTCCTTGTCTTTTATTTCTCCCCGATAGTTCTATTGCCCGTTAAAAAGCACCTGTGCTTAACAGTTGTTCAGCTTTATTTTTTCCCCCAATCTAAGTCTCATGAAAGGTGAGTTTGAGATTTGCATGAGTAATTTTCCAGCACCTAGGGAGGCCTAACTGAGCTAAACAGGTGACTGCAGATATTGGCACCTGGAGAGAGGGAGTGTGTGTTGGTCATGCTGTAATAAAATTCTTAGGACTTATAACTTTGGACTTTAACAACTTAAATGACACAGTGCTCTACAGTTTCTTTCTTTTAAAGGCAAAAAAGAATTTGCCACTTGCACTGATGATTTTCTCTTCATAAAGGACCAAACACATGAGCTTAATTCTTTTTTCCCTTGGGCTGAGAATGTCCAGTGTGCTGCAGCCCGGATGGGCTTTATGTGCTGGCCGCTGCAAAGAACACACAAGCAGCAGCTTCTGAGCCCTTCCGCCTGTCTGCTTTCAAGCTGCTGAAGGGGAAAGAGCAGCAAGTCACTGTGGCCGAAGGTTCACGTGCAAGTGTCTGCCAAGTATTGGAATTTTAAAACTAAAAACTCAAGATGAAATATATGTGCGCATATATTAGGATAAGACTATGTGTTAGTGATAGATTTGGAAAATGAAGCTCTATATGTAGACAGCATAGAGAATAAATAGTTTTATAACTCAGGATCACTTTTTCTCATGGAATTTTTTAATGTATGGGGTATTTATTTTATGCTAGAGTTTATTTTTATGTAATATTTGATATGCAATGTACAATAGTGGTGAAGAACACAGTCTCAATAGCCACGCTTTTTAGGTTCGAAAGCATGGTTTTTAAATAGCCACTTATTAGCTGTAGGACTAAAGATACCTTTCAGTACCTTTGTTTCCCTGCCTGCAAAATGGAAATAATTATAATACTTGCTTCATAGAGTTGTGCGTATTAAATGTGTAGATATATACACGCGCACACACCCATAAACACATACATGTGTGTATATATGCACATATACATCAGAATTGTGAGTGTATAGTAAACAATATATTATTTTTTAAACAAGTGAAAATTATATTTCTATTCAAAAGCAAAGAGAAGGTTACATAAAAATTTTCAGTGGTATTTAATGGCTTTTATAGTGCAAATTAAGGCATGGCATTTTCAAAATATTAAACTAAAATGGAATGGCAATTCAGTAATGAGGGCCAGGAATAGCACAAAACTTTATTTACTGTTTTTTACCTTTAGAATTTTTGTTTTGTTTGTTTGTTTTTAAGCTGAGCCATCCTGCCACCTGTTGGCAGCTCAGCGGCTGCTCAGCTCGGGCTGGACTTGAACCGCTGTCGCTCAGAGCTCACACTCTTGAGCAAGCTCTTAACCAACTGAGCCACTCAGCCAGGCCCTTTTACCTTTAGAATTTTTAACTGTAACTGAACTAGAAAATTTTCCTATGAATCATGTTACCTCTAGAAGTAAATGCTGTTAAAAGACCATTTCTAAGAATCACATTTTAGAATTAGCAGAAATCTTAGTTATCAAATAGTTCATCCAATCTCTTTATTTTCAGGCTCAGAGAGAGGGCTGAGGCCAAGGAAATCAAATGATTTTCTCAAAGTCAGGTAACTATTTAGTTCCAAGCCATATTTACTAACTTCTAGTGTAGTAGTTCCACTACTCCTTCTTCTTCTTGGTCTTCTTCTTCTTCTTGTTCTTCTTCTTCTTCTTGTTCTTGTTGTTGTTGTTGTTGTTGTTGTTGTTGTTGTTGTTCTTCTTCTTCTTCTTCTTCTTCTTCTTCTTCTTCTTCTTCTCCTCCTCTTCCTCCTCCTCCTCCTCCTCCCCCCTCCTCCTCTTCCTCCTCTTCCTCCTCCTCCTCCTGCTGTTGATTTATTCAAACAAATATCCAAATGAGGTCTACCTATTGCATTGGGCTGTCATGTCTTTATTGTTTTAAAATGTCTTAGGCCATTGAACTTGTTGAAGAAATTGGGTCTATTGTCCTGTGAATGCCCCACATTCTGGATTTATCTGATCTGACACTTAAATTATTATTCTTTTTTTTATTAAAGTTTTTTGGGGTGACAATGGTTAGTAAAGTTACATAGGTTTCAGGTGTACAATCCTGTACTACATCATCTGTATATCATGTTGTGTGTCTACCACCCAGAGTCAGTTCTCCTTCCATCACCATATACTTGACCTCGTTTACCCTCATCTACCACTCCCCTCCCCTTTTACCCCCTGGTAACCATTAAACTACTGTCTGTATCTATGAGTTTTTGTTTCTTTCTTTATTTGTCTTGTTCCTTTGTTGCTTTCAGTTTTATATCCCACATATTAGTGAAATCATATGGTTCTCGACTTTTTCTGTCTGATTTATTTCGTTTAGCATAATAATCTCAAGATTCATCCAAGTTGTTGCAAATGACACTGTTTCATCTTTTCTTAAGGCTAAGTAATATTTCATTGTATATATGTACCACATCTTCTTTATCCAATCATTTATGGAAGGACACTTTGGTTTCCATGTCTTGGCTACCATAAATAAAGCTGCAATGAACATCAAAGCACATATATCTTTATAGATAAATGTTTTCAGATTTTTTTGTGTGTATATACCTATGAGAGAGATTGCTGGGTCATATGGTAATTCTATTCTTAATCTTTTGAGGAACCTCCACACTGCCTTCTATTGCAGCTGCACCAGTCTGCTTTCCCACCAACAGTGTGTGAGGGTTCCTTTTTCTCCACAGCCTCTCCAACACTTGTTATTACTTGTCTTGTTGATGACAGCCATTCTAACTGGTGTGAGGTGATATCTCAATATACATTTCTCTGATGTCTAATAATGCTGGGACATTTGCATGAGATTATTGGATTTGTATGTCTTCCTTTGTGAAGTGCTTATTTAATTTTTTTCCATGTTCTAAGTTGGAATTTTTGTCTTTTTATTATTGAGTTGTAGGAATCCTTTGTATATTATGGATATAAGTCTTTTAGCCTATATATGTTTTGCAGATATTTTCTGACAATGTCTGGCTTGCCTATTCATTTTTTTTAAAGATGTCTTTTAATAAGTAGAAGTTTTTACTTTTAATAAAGTCTAAGTTTTACATTTTTATAGTTATTATTTTCTGTACCCTTCCTAAAAAATCACTTTCTTCCCCCAGGTTGTGAATTTATTCTCCTATGTTTTCTTCTAGAAGTTTTAGCTTTAAATTTAGGTCTAATATTCATTTTGAATTCATTTTTGTGTATGATGCAAAGTAGGGAAAGCTCTATGTTCTGTAAAGCTAGATTTTTATTTTAAAGAAAATTTTCACAGAAATATTTTTTGTGAAGTGTTTTTCCTTGGTATTAATAAAGACTTTTTAAGGTAGCAAGTAACTGAAACTAGGTTGAGCAAACAGAAATTTATTTGTTCACTTTGCTGGGAAAAATAAGACATCTCATAGGATCAAAGGAAGTGACCCAGGGCCAGGATTTCAGGAGCTAGAACTGGGATGGACATTTAAGGCTCTCTGCACTCTTCTCTCACATCTACTTGTCTGTGCAGAGCTTCACGTTGCAGGCAGCTTTCCTCTGCGGGTCGGGGGATATAAATGTTGTCAGCCTCAGATACGCATCCTTCTAGTGTCTCTTTAGCTGACCTAAGGAAGGACTCCACTTGGTACTATTTCTTGTCACATGCCCACTCCCTGGGCCGGTCGCTGTTCCCGCAGAGCTCCAGGACCTCTGTGTAATCAAGTGGAGGCCCACCCTCTGGCAGTGGGATAGAGAAGCAACTGAAACAACATGGCATGAGGGAGAGAGGGTTCCCCAAAGGGATTCTGGACATTCCAAAAAGCATGTGTCCTACCAAGCTTTCTATTTTTAAAAATGGCAGTTTATGAATAGGATTTATTTATCTTTCACTGAACTGCTAATTAAATATATCTAGGTACAATAAAGCTAGCTTTCTATTCAGTTTACCTAAAACCAAAGTGTCAATTAATTAGATATTTTGAAGAATTAAAATGTGTTTATATGAGCATAATGGTACCTCATCAAAGATCAAAGTTTAATACATCAAAGCCCATCATAATGTGAATGATGCGGAATAAAGTGGAATAGCAGTCAGATTGTTTTCACTTGGACATCTCCTCACTTCCCTCAAATTCTAATGAGAAGACTGTATTGTCAGTACCTCCATGTAATAAACCACTGTAGTTCAGTGATTAGGACAAGATTTATATAGTTAGAGTGCCTAGTAATTTCTCAGAGCTTATAAAATAAGGCTGATGATGCTCTACCCACAGGATTAATTGACAAAGAAGAAGGCTTCCTTATTGGAAATCATTAACTACCTTAAGGCTTTCATTGGAAGGGGAAAAACCTGAGAGTTCATGGTAGACAAATGACTCTCAGCCAGTTACCTACTTGTAAAGTATTTTCTTTGTAGTGTAGTTGAATAAAAAGCTGGTCCCATAGAGAGCCTTAAAATGATTTTGCAATCAACAACATATCTTGTTTTCCTAGCTTTGGACTTGCTAAGGACTCTGACATTAAAAGTAGTATTTCAGACAAGCTTTTATCAAAGCTTAAATGTGACCATTAGGGGACAGAGACAGAGGAAGTCTTTAAGTGAGAGGTTGTTTCCCAATGGTGAGAGGAAGCCCCAGCCTAGAAGGTTCTCCCCACCTGGGCCTGTCTTTCTCAGCATTCCACTTGCTTTAGCTTTGCCCTCCCTACACCTCCCACTGTGTACTAAAGCTCTCCTTCATCTCAGCCATCGCTGCCCACCCTTTGGTTATTATAATCCCATTACTTTTCAGATTTGCTGTGGAAAACCTCTTTTCTTTGTTCCTTGAGACAGTTTCTCAAAAACAGTTTTACTAATGAACTATAAGTATGAGTGAGGTAGAGGAGAGACATACAAAAGTTTATAAATGGAAATGTTTAAAAAAATCAGGTTCCTGATCCTATTTTTAAGGGTCCAATCATAGATTAGATTAATTAATATAAAAATAAGGGACATCAAACTTCGATTTCTTTTTTCCTGCTTCGGATCTGATTTCTTTGTTCTTTGTGGCCGGAGGATGCAAATGATAGTTGTTACCATCTTAGAGCTCTCAGCAAGCTATTAGCTCTTTACATTAAAAGAGGTTGACTTTTGTGACAAAATGGATGGATCTTGAGATTACTATGCTAAGCAAGCTAACTCAGACAGAAAAAGTAGAAAACCATATGATTTCACTGATATGTGGTATATAAAATAACAAAGGAACAAGACAAACACATAAGGAAACAAAAACTCATAGACACAGATAATAGTTTAGTGGTTACCAGGGGATAAGGGGGGAGTGGGAATGGTAGATGAGGGTAAAGGGGATCAAATATGTGGTGATGGAAGGAGAAGTGACTCTGGGTGGTGAACACACAATGTGACATATAGATGATTAGCTGATGTATTACAGAATTGTACACCTGAAACCTATGTAACTTTACTAACAATTGTCACCCCAATAAACTTCAATTACAAAAAAAAGTTGATTTTTGTGCTTGCTTTAGCTGCACATATACTAAATTGGAATGATACAAAGAAGATCAACATGGCACCTGCACATGGATGATGCAAATTCGTGAAGTGTTTAATATTTTTATATAATGTATTTAGTTAGTGTACAGCATGTTGACTATAGATAATAATATTGTATTGAGTATTTGAAAGTAGCTAGGAAAGTGGCTCTTAATAGTTATCACAGGAAAAAAATTGTATGATTACAGATGTTAACTGGACTTATGATAGTCATTTTGTAACAGAGTCATTCGCCACATAACAATTTGGTCAAAGGACAGATGGAATATACAATGGATGGTAGTGCTATAAAATTATAATAGAGCTGAAAAATTACTATCGCCAATGATGTCATAAGCATCTTCACATCTTAGTGCCAGTCATTACTCATCTATTTGTGGTGATGCTGGTGTAAACAAACCTACTGAGGTATTAGGTGTATAAAAGGATAGCACATATAATTATGTACAGAGCATAATACTTGATAATGATAATGAACAACTATGTTATTGGTTTATGTATTTACTGTACTATACTTTTTATCACTACTTTAGAGTATACTCTTTCTACTTATAAAATAAAAGTTTGCCTTACAACTGTTTGCCGAGTTACACTGTCAACAGCCTCATACATTTTGGGTTCACCATGTCTCTTGATTGCATCATCTTCTCTTGTGCTTGATTTAATCTCATGTTGTTTTGTACAGTAGCATGCTGTACAGGCTTGTAGCCTAGGAGCCGTAGGCTGTACCGTATAGCTTAGGCGTGTGGTAGGCTAGACCATCTAGGTTTGGATAAGTGTACTGTATGAGGTTTGCTCAGTGGAAAATTGCCCAATTATGCTTTTCTCAGAATATAGCCCCATTGTTAAGTGGTGAATGACTGTACATACAACTATAGAATCATTATGTTGTACAATTGAAACAAATATAATGTTATTTCAATTTTACCTCAAAAAAAAAGAAAGAAAAAAAGTTGCCTCTTCTTTTCCCATTTCGAATGGCATTCTCTCTTGGGGAGCACCTGAATTTCTATTTTATATTAGAGGAATGCCTTTAATTCTTGC